ATTTGATCTCCGGTTCTTCTGGCTTTTCTAAACCCAGCTTTAACAACTGGAATTTCATGGTTCACATACTGTTGAAGCCTGGCTTGGAGAATTTTGAGCATTACTCTGCTAGCGTGTGAGATGAGTGCAATTGTGCGGTAGTTTGAGCATTTTTTGGCATCGCCCTTCTTTGGGACTGTAATGAAAATTGACCTTTTCCAATCTTGTGGCCACTGCTGCATTTTCCAAATTTGCTGGTATATTGAGGGCAGCACTTTCACAGCATTATCTTTTAGGATTTGAAATAGCTCAACTGGAATTTCATCACCTCCACTAGCTTTGTTCATAGTGATGCTTCCTAAGGCCCAGTTGACTTCGCATTCCAGGATATCTGGCTCTAGGTGAATGATCATATCACCGTGGTTATCTGGGTCAGGAAGATCTTTTTTGTACAGTCCTTCTATGTATTCTTGCCACCTCTTCTTAATATCTTTGCTTGTTAGGTCCATACCATTTCTGTCCTTTATTGAGCTCATCTTTGCATGAAATGTTCCCTTGGTATCTCTTACTTTTTTGAAGAGATCTCTAGTCTTTCTCATTCTGTTTTTTTCCTCTATTTCTTTGCATTGATACCTGAACAATGCGGTTATTAGTCCTACTTCACTGGACAGCTATGGGGATCAGTGACACATGGTCTGTAACCCAGGCAGAGCAGCGTCTGGCGTGTGGGCTGCTGTCACTATTGCTGAGCGTCTATCTTGTGCCCTGGTGGCTTGGTTGGTAAAGAATCTGCCTGCAAAGCAGGAGACCCGGCTTTGATCCCTGGGTTGGGAAGATCTGCTGGAGAAGGAAATGGCAACCCACTCCAGTATTCTTGCCTGGGCAATCCCACGGACACAAGAGCCTGGCGGGCTACAGTCCAGGGGTCACAAAGAGTTGGATACGACTTAGCGACTAAACCACCACCATTTTGTGCCAAGCCCTGTGCTAAGTCCTAGAAGTCAGCTGGCATTTCTTCTGGGACACCAAGATTCCAGAAACCCTTGACTGGGTCTCTGCCCCCTAAGAAGCCTCATGAGGTGGTCCCTGGGGAGGCAGAAACCCCCCCCACTTGCTGCAAAGCAGTCCCCACACAGGAGAGGCTGCAAGAGCATCAGGCGGCCTGGCCTCTGCCTGCTTCATTCCCTAGAGATGCCCTCTGTCTCTGACAGAGCCGGACTCCGGCTCAACCCTGCTCAGGCTTGTCCTGAGGTCAGGAGCCTCTGCAGACCAGGTCTGTGTCACGTGACTGCCGCTGGGCTAACGCAGAGGGCTGTGCCCACGCGGGCCCGGCCGGGAGAAGGCGGGTCCTTAGGTCTCAGCCCTGAGCACGGGGCCGGCACTGCTTGCCAACGTCAGCCATGAGGACTCTGCTGCCAGCAACCTCTCTCCAGCAAGAATCTTCAAGGAAAATAGGAGGGCGGCACCAAGGCAAGCTAATTACCTCTAATTACCCAGAGGAGGAAAGCACTGCTTTCTGTGATGCGTCCTAATGCGATAAAGAGCTATTATTAGGCAGGAGCTGGGAGGCTGCCATGAAGGCATCTGAGCCTGGAGAGGAATCTCTGCAGCTGCTGGTCTCAGGGGCAGAAGTGAAGGTGGAGACGGGGGCAGGGGAGGCAAGAACTAGCGTTAAACGTGGGCCTCCTGCTCGCCAAGCATCACGCACGCGCCCTGGAAGGCAGGGGGTAGCCCTTGTCTCCAGGATGCGGCACCTGAGGCACAGAGAGGTTAAGCCACTGGCCTAAGGTCACACAGCCAGCATAGCAGCAGCAGAGGCCGAATTCAGAGCCAGGCAGGCCTCTCTGGCATCAACGGCGGTGCTCTTCCCACTAAACCCCATTCGGATGCTTCCCAGGGCAGAATTGGCCTCTTTCAAGCATTCTTTCAATGCTCTGTAGCATTTCAAGGAAATTTTCATTGAAAAGGAAATTTCAGCCATGCTTTTTCACATTTTGTCCTGTGGCAGAGGGAGACCCCTGGTGTGGTGGGGCATCCCGTCAAACCGGACAGAGACTACTGGACGCGGGCCAGGGGGTATCAGAGTCTGGCGGTCTGCTGGTCTGGTTGGCCAAGCTCTCCTCACTCCCCCAGGAAGGCAGACCGCACAGACTCGGGACCCAGTTTCAGAGACCGGATCTACGACTCTCCAGTTCTGTGAGTCTCTCATCTCAAGCCTCACTCAGTCACGTCTGACTCAGCATAGCCTGCCAGGCTCCTGTGTCCATGGAATTCTTCAGGCAAGAATACTGGAGTGAGTTGTCATTCCTGACTGCAGGGAATATTTCCATCCCAGGGATCGAACCTGGGTCTCCTGCATTGCTGGCAGATTCTTTACGGTCTGAGCCACCAGGAAGCCCATTGTCTCAAGCCTCAGTTTTCTGGTCTGTGACTTGGGGATGCCCACATCCTACTCAATGGGGCTGCTGTGAGGTTGATATTGCATGAAGCAAGTCTCTCAGGGGGAAAGATGATCTAAAGAGACGACTCTAGGGGTTGACGCTCCTGTCTGCCCTGGGACGACTGCCTCCTGAACTAGGAATGATCAGTGTCATGGGTGGATGAGTCTAAAAACTCTTCTTATTCTGGGACCGACATCCGCGTCCAAAGCTGCCAGTTAGGAAGACACGGGGCTGATTCACTTGCCTTCCTCTGGTGGGTCAGCACTTGTGAGCCAGGGCCCTGGGAGTCTGGGGGAGTGAAGATATGAGCCAGGCCAAGTTGGCCCCTGGGAGATGGTGGCAGGCTGGGTGAGAGACCCAGGGGTCCTCAGGGCAAGGTCATGGCCCATGAGCTTCGGGGCTGGTAGTGCCTGATAACGTTCTAGTTTTGTTTTTGTGCCAGAACCCCCCTTCAGTCCTCAGTTCCGCTTTAACAAACATGCAACCAGGGACTTCCCTGGTGTGTCCAGTGGTTAAGACGTCGCCTTCCAGTGCAGTGGCTGTGGGTTCGACCCCTGGTCGGGGAGCCAAGATCCCACATGCCTTGCAGCCAAAAAACCAAAAGCATAAAACAGAAGTAACACTGTAACAGATTTAACAAAGACTTTAAAAATTGTCCACATTAAAAAAAATCTTGAAAAAGCAAATTAAAAAAAGCCCCAAACCTCATGCAACCTGGTGTGAGCTGTGCTGGTGGGGGTCAGGGTGCCTGGCTTCCCCCACCACGAGGTAGTGTGTATGTGTGTGTGTGTGTGTGTGTGTGTGTGTGTTGGGGGCTGTTGGGCCAGGCTGCTGTTGAAGCTGGAGGGAGGAACCAAGGTTGTCCAGGGTACCCCTCCCCAGGGGAGTTTTCAGATGCCCACGGAGGGGCCTGGTCTGCCTGCTTTCAGACAGGGTGATGTGGCTGGCTCAAACCACGCGTATGCGGAACCTGGGGCAACTGGTTTATGCTTGGGAAATGCTTGGCAGTTGATAAATGGCAGCCGGCAGTGCAGTAGCTGGAAACTGAAGCGCCTGTTCTCGCGGGACTTCCCCTGGCGGAGTTTGCTCGAGGATGTAACTGCAGCCCACGACCCTCCCCTTCCTGGGAGCCGGCGCCTCTCCCACTGGCTCCCACATCTACCCAACCAGGGCGATGCCCACTGGCTTCAGACTGGGCTCGAGTCCTGCTCTGCCGTGCTCCTGCGTGTGACGCCGGGCACAGCCTCAGCCTCTCAAAGCCTCAGTGAGCCCATCTGTCCAGTGGGCGTATGGACGCCGCAAAAGGCTCAGGGCAGAGCTGGGCATCGCATCGGTACATGAAGCTACTATTAACTCTAGGTAGTGGGGGGACGAGGTTCCTTCAAGCCTGAAAAATGGATCTAGAAACCCAAATTAGGTTTGTGTGGCTGCTGGGGTGGGTCCCCCCCCACAACATTTCCCAGCAAGAATGCTTTGGACCGTCTGCCCTGCTTAGTCTGAGATGTGGAAGAATCCTTGGGGAGTATGTTTAATATGCAGACGTGCAGGCTCCACGCCTAGAGATTGATGGAGGAGGTCTGGGCCACGGGGCTCTGGGATCCGCATTTTAAATAAACTCTCCAGATGAGTCTGAGGTCAGGGGCCTTGGGACACACTTTGCCTTCCAATGCAGGGGGTGTGGGCTCAGTATCTGGCGGGAGAGCCAAGATCCCACATCCCTTGCAGCCAAAAATCCAAAAACATCAAACAGAAGCAATACTGTCACAAATTAAACACCTTCCTTGCTCCCTATGCCAAGGTTTTGTGCATGTGTGCTAAGTCACTTCAGTCATGTCTGACTCTGTGCAACGCTATGGACTGTAGCCTGCCAGGCTCCTCTGTCCATGGGATTCTCCAGACAAGAATACTAGAGGCATTTGCCACGCCCTCCTCCAGAGGGTCTTCCCGACCCGGGGATCGAACCCACATCTCTTACTTCTCTTGCATGGGCAGTCGGGTTCTTTACCATTAGTGGCACCTGGGAAGCCCATTCCACGGTTTCACAGCCTGGCAGTCAGGCGCTTCTCTTCTGGTCCAGCCTGAATGCTTCCGCCTGTGCCCTCTGGTTGCTCTGGTTACTTTCCAGAGAAACAGACTGTCCTGACTAGTAATCTGGGCTCGGGGAGTGAGTGAGGGCCGTGGGAGGAGGAGTTGGGGGAGGAGTGGAAAGAGGGCAGTGATGTAGGGGCAAGAACATGGGCTTGGCAGGTTCAAATCCAGGTTATCAGTTGTGCGTTGTATGATGGGAACTTTCCTAAGCCTCAGTTTCCTAATCTGTGAAATGGGGATAATGATGCCTGGCCCTGAGACCATGTGCAGGTTAGAGAGGATGTGTGCCAAGGGCCGGGGGGCATTGCCCTGGCACAGAGATGGTGCCTGTGAACAGGAGTTACCTCTGCCCAAATGAGTTCTGACAATCTCTCTCGTCTGGGGTGGACCGGGCCGGGGCCAGTGTCCCTGGGATGTGGGTCACTGGGCTGGAGTAAGATGTGCACCCTCCCCACCCCCCAGAGCCGGCCCCAGGGGGCAGGGGGTACTCACCACCGAGGACAGGTCCACATTCTCCACCCTCCTGTCCTGCAGTAGCACAGGCTGCAGGCCGGCCACGCGGAGCCGCACGGAGGACGTGCGGTAGACGAAGCTCAGCAGCCAGTCCGCCCTGCGTGGGAGAGGACGCGGTGAGAAGGGGCGGACGTCAGCCTCAGGAGAGCCCGGCCGGGCCCCGGCGAGCCTGGCGGGATGCGTGCTTCCGCGGGATACTGGGGCTCCCTGCGCCCAGGGATGGCGGGGGCAGCTGCAGGCACCGATGTCTGGGAGCAGCACCGGGCCTGGCAGCTCCGGGGAAGCCGCTTGGTTCCCTGCCGGCTCCCCCGGGGCAGAGGACAGTGCTGATGAGCAACAGACAGTATCTGCTGAGTGGATGAACGCGGGAACTGCATGCCGATCTCCAGAAATCGGCACGAGGCTGGGAGGGACGCTCTCGGCTGGCTGTGGGTTCCAGTTCCCCGGGGTGGCTGAGCTGGGGCTCCCGGGGAGATCAAAGAGAGGCAGCAGGACATCTGTCTCGGGGAGAGGACCACGGGGGGCTAGGACACATGCTCTGCAGGCTGGGACTCTGGGTGTGGGGGCCCCCCTCCATCTGTCTGTGAACGGGAGGGACTGAGACAGGCCCGGCCTGCAGCCTCCCGCCCTCAGCCACTAGGAGGCCAGGGTGACCCCCAGGTGGGTCACAGCCCTGCAACACTCCTCCCCCGCTCTCGGGGTGCTGTGAACCCTGCGCTCTGTACCCCATCACTCCTAGCCAGTCATCCGCCCTACACTCCGGAGAGAGGATGACCCCGGAGCCCCTGTAGCCCGATTCTTCAGGTACATGAGACACGTGCACCCACAGAGACCTGGTCTACAGGGTCCATGGGTCAGCGTTCCCCCTCGAGTCCCTGCGCCCTGTCCGGGGTGAAGCTGGGCCCTGTCCCCCAGCAGGTCCGTGCGCGTGGACACTTCTGTTCCCCTTCGGCCTCCAGGACTGGAACTCTACTTAGCACATCAGGCTGTCTTTTGTTCAGACCGAGTCTGACCCTGGTTTGCAGGGTCCCCCGAGTCCATTATTTTTGTGTGCTTGTTTGAAAGCAGGGCTCTCCCTCCCTGCCTTGTTGGGGGCGGTCAGCTGAGAGTCAGGGCTCCCTGCCCTGCCTGTCTGACCACAGGAGAGGCCCCAGAGCTGTCGGGACCCACAGTGTGGCGGGCTCTCTAGGCTCCTTGGTAGTTTTGACCCTGTGGTCTCTGACCACATGGGTGCCTGTGTGGTCACCACCCCGGACACCCCTGGAAGGACTGGGTCCAGAGTTGAGCGGCTCTCAACAGACCCTTGGGCTTCCTAGGTGGTGCGAGTGGTAAAGAACCCACATCCCAGTGCAGGAGACATAAAGAGACGTGGGATCGATCCCTGGGTCAGGAAGATCCCCTGGAGGAAGGCATGGCCACCCACTCCAGTATTAGTGCCTGGAGAATCCCAAGGACAGAGGGGCCTGGTGGGCTACAGTCCATGGGGTCACAAAGAGTTGGACACGACTGAGTGACTTAGCACACTCGCATACAGGCAACAGACCCTCCTGCTGTGTCCCCGCCACCCCTCAACGCCATCGTCTGAATCACCTGCCAGGTTCCTCAAGCAGAAGCCAGCAGGTCCCAGGTCCCGGGTCCCCCTTCCCCGCCATGGCCACCCATCACTGAATCCCCCCGTCTGCTGCCCCAGGACCTTCTGCTCCAGCTCTGAAATCAGGCAGCCCCTCCCCGCCCTTAAACTCTCACCCGACCACGGCCCTGTCCTCTCAGAAGCCCACCTTGACTCCCACTGCCCACCAGCTTTCTTTTCTAGAAAGCTCCTTAACTCCCCCCAGAGAGCAATGCTTGCACATCCCAATGGTTAGCCTCATACTGAAGGCCCAAAAGAGTGTCCCTCAGAATGATGGCTAAGGGGAGGAGGGAGACTGATCCTAGTTGTTCTATCAACTAACCATGAGACATGAGCATCAAACATAGGGTGTGGGGAGGTCCCTGAAATGGTTCTGATGTGGAAAGTCATAAACGAGAGACTTGCCTGGGGAACAGTGGGTGAGAACCACCTGCCAGTGCAGGGGACACGGGTTAGACCCCTGGTCCGGGGAGACCCCACACGCTGTGGAGCAACTGAGCCCAAGCACCACAGTACTGAGCCCGAGCACCACAGTACTGAGTCTGAGCAAAACAGTACTGAGTCTGAGCACCACAGTACTGACCCCGAGCACCACAGTACTGAGCCCGAGCACCATAGTCCTGAGTCTGAACACCATAGTGCTGAGCCTGAGCACCACAGTACTGAGCCTGAGCACCACAGTACTGAGCCCGAGCACCACAGTACTGAGTCTGAGCAAAACAGTACTGAGTCTGAGCACCACAGTACTGACCCCGAGCACCACAGTACTGAGCCCGAGCACCATAGTCCTGAGTCTGAACACCATAGTACTAAGCCTGAGCACCACAGTACTGAGCCTGAGCACCACAGTACTGAGCCCGAGCACCACAGTACTGAGTCTGAGCGCCACAGTACTGACCCCGAGCACCACAGTACTGAGCCCGGGTGCCTGGAGCCCGTGCTCCCCAACAAGAGAGGCCACCGCAATGAGAAGCCTGTGCCTTGCAACTAGAGGGTGGTCCCCGCTCACCCCAACTGGAGAAAGCCTGCACCTGGCAACAAAGACCCGGGGCAACCAAAGAGATAGAACAGAAAGAAGGTCATAAAGGGCAAGGTCAGCATTGCTCCGGCCCACGGTCCCTCTTAAATATGGACACGCTCTACTTAACGATGGTAATAGAGCTTGTTTATACACATGTACGGATGAACTTCCAAGGACAGAGGAGCCTGGCGGGCTACAGTCCACGGGGTCGCAAGAGTTGGACGTGACTTAGCGACGAAACAACGACGACAGACAGGGCGAGATCAGGTGTTAGAAGGTTCCACAGCCTCGAAACTGTGCTGAATGAACCCAGCACTTTTGTTTTTCTTCTGCGGTGTTTGCAGAGGCCTGCCAGACCCTCTGCACTCGGCGTCTGCCTCTCCCGTGGGGGTGGGCCACCAGCCCCTGCCTGGGACTGCACAGAGCTAGTCCTGCCCCCTCAGCCACCGGCTGTGTGGCCTCGGGCAAGCTGCGTGACCCCTCTGAGCCTCGTCTTGTCACTGTGAGTTACCTTGCGGGGAGGGCAGGAGTGCGCCCAGAAAGCACGCACTGTGCACCCAGCACTCACCCACGATGGGTGTGATGACACCCCTCGCTCCGGGCCCTCGCGGGCACCCTGGCCTCTCTTGCTGGGCCTACTCCTTCCGGCTCTGACGGGCTCCCATCCACCCCTTCACCACCGAGCCTGCACGCGCCCCCTCCCCGAGCCTCGCCACCGGACATCAATGGCTGCCGTCCCTCTGGGCCTGCCATGCGGTCCCCTCGCGGTGTCTGTCATGTGCTCTGTGGGCCCGTTCCTCGGCCTTCTCCTTTCCTGGGCAGAGAGCTCGTTGAGGGCGGGACCAGGCCCTGGACCTGCACCCTGCCTCCCGAGTGGAGTTGTGAACTTCCTGGCGGGTGGGGAGCCCAGCAAGCCAGGCCTTAGTGGCCTCAGGGCTCCAGGCCAGGCGGACGCACGGATCACACAGCTGGTCCCTGACTGGCGCCCGGGACCTGCGGAAGGCCGTGCCCTGGGTCCTCACAGGCCTGGAGCCACCCGCGGGCAGGGGTGCCCCCTCCCGCCACCCGCTCCTCCTAACATCAGCCCCTCCCCACACGGCGCTGGAGCAGAGACCGCGCGGGGAGCCCCCTGGAGCTCAGAATGAAACCCTCTCACTGCAGATGCCCCAGGGGTCAGGGAGACAGGCTCACCCGAGTTCACATCCTGGCCCTGCTGTGTGGCCTTGGCATTTGACCCTCCCTGAGCTTCAGGTTCCTTGCAGTGTAACAGGGAGCAGCACCACTCAGCCCGGCTGGCTTCCAGGGAGTGTGTGAAAGCAGGCGAAGAACTACCAAGTTTCACTAATGTACGTTATAAATTTATAAATGTATACAGTTTGGGAGCTTTGGCCTGAAGCTCCCCTCACCCCCTCACTCACTCTCCATCTTAATTAAGTTCACCGCAACTAGAGAGTCCGTGGGGGCCAAGAATGTGAATGCCTGGCTGGAGCTTAATTTAATCAAGAAACTACAGTTATTGTTTTGGTCTGGACATTCCTCCCCTCTTCTCTCCTTCCTCTTCCTCCTCCTTTTTTCTCTCTGGAGAGATGGCTCAGGATCTCACAAAATAATAGAAACCCAAGCTTATTAGCCTCAGGTTCTCAACAGAACAGATGGGTTTAATAAGATTTTGCTGCTTTCATATTGCACACATGCAACTTTAATTCTTTCCCTTTGCTGGTTATGAAACACACCAAAAAAAAAAAAATTATGTGCTGTGAATATGCCTATGTTGCTTACTGGGCACCTACAAACTGCCAGTCCTCATCCCATATAATCTCATTTAATCCTCCCAGAACTCCTGTGCTGGACGGCCTCTTATTCCCATTGTACAGGTAGGAATACTGAGCTTCAGGCTTGTTTGTCCAAAGCCATCTGACAGGTAAAGGACGGAGCCAAGATTTTAACCAGGGACTGTTTGACGTCAATATTGTGTCCATTCTTTTTCTTTTCTTATTTCTTAAACTGTCCTTACTGAAAAGCCTCTCTTATAAATATATATATAAAAGCCTCTTTTGTTAAGATATACATATATACACATATGGAACTAAATCACTTTGCTATATACCCGAAACTAATGCAAGACTGCAAGTCAACTACGTGTCAAGGGAAGCAAACCCCTTTTTTGCGCCCTCCTTCCAATCCCTGTGCATTCTTTAGGGGCAGCCACTGTCACTCGCGTCTCTTGGTCCCTCAGGACCGCCCTGTTCAGTTCTAGACATACAGATACACATATGCACACACAGAAACTTCTTCTTTTGAAAGTGGGTCAATAGAATGTATTGTTGCACTCGCTTTTTAAAAAAAAATTATTCCCCTCTTTGTGGTCATTTAGGTCACTGGGTCGCTTTCAATTTTTAATTATAAATGAAGCTGCAAGGATCTCCTTTGTGCATCCACCTCTGTGCATGTGAGTATCTATTTATGCAGGATCACAGAAGCAAGAATCTCTGGGATCAGAAGACTGGCATATTAAAAATTTGGATAGATATTGCCAATTACCCCCAAAAAGGATTTGCTAAATTCAGCTACCACCAACAGCATATAACAGTGCCTATTTCACCACATCTTCACCAACACTGATTGTTATTCATGTTTCAGATGTTTGATGATGTGATAGATGATAAATAGTACTTTACTTACTTTAGTTTGCATCTATTTCATTAATAATGAGGTTGGATATCTTTTCAAAAGTTTATTGACTACATTTATTCCATGTTTATGTGTAGATATCTTTTAGCCATTCCTCTCTTTCTTCTTTTTTTATTTTTTTGGCCACACCATGTGGCATGTGGGATCTTAAGTATCCCAGTCAGGGACTGAATCCATGCCCCCTGCACTGGGAGTGTGGAGTCTTACCACTGGATGGCCAGAGACGTCTCTGGCCATTTTCTTATTAGTTTTTTTTTAAATTGATTTGATTGAGCTCTTTATATATTACAGCCCTTTATCTTTGTTTCTTTGTTCTTTCTACCATATTCTGATCCTAAGAGCTCAGCTTAGAATAGGAGTGACAGGGTTTGGGGGAGAATGGATACATGTGTATGTATGGCTGAGTCCCTTCGTCATTTACCTGAAACTACTAAAACACTGTTCGTCGGCTATACCCCAATACAAAATAAAAAGTTTAAAGTTTGAAAAGAAGAAAGAATATGAACGATAAAGCCATACTAATTGGTTGAACTCTGGGGTCTTGGTTAATGCCCTCTATCCATGGCTAAAGATCATCTTTATCTTTAGCTGTGGACATGGGCTAAGTTATCAAACTGATAAAGAGTTTCCAAATCTGTTCTATTCAGTTGCAGGTTCCACTTGGGATGGTTGGGCTTAGATCAAAACTAAAGTTAACTGGCCTTGTGACTTAACCTCTCTGAGCCTCAGTTTTCTCACTTGTAAAATGGAATCAGTAATACAAATCCCTTAGGGTTTGGGGGAGGACCTTCCCTTCCTCCCCAGTGTCTGGGGCACCACCTTGGCGGAAGCCCCTCAAGTCCTGCTCAAATCCCCAGCCAGGATGCCTCCTTTTCAGCCCCACAGCCATCAGCCTTTGTAGCCCTCAGGTCTTGCGGGAGGATCTGCCGTATGCTGTGGGTGCTGGGTCCCCCAAGGCTGCCATCCCCGCCCCGAGACATTGCTCTGAAAGCCTGGACAATCCCCACTCCCTTCCTACCAAATAATGTACACGAGGGACTTCCCTGGTGGTCTAGTGGGTTAAGAATCCGCTTTTTGATGCAGGGGACATGGGTTCGATCCCTGGTCAGCGCGAAGATCCCACATGCCACGGGGCAACTAAGCCTGCGTGCTGCAGCTACTGAGCTCGTGTACCATGACAAGAGAAGACTGCATGCCGCAACAAAGACCCCGCGCCGCCAAAAAATAACAAATAAAGCCCACAGTGGCTCCTCAGCCAGCATTAAGACCTCCCGCTTGGGCCTCACTCTGTGCTTCTCAGCCTCAGCCCACTCACCCACATCCCTCTTGCCCCAGATCACGGTGACCAGCTTGGCCTCCCGAGTCATCCTATAAACTGTCCCCAGACACGTGGGGACACTAGGTGCTCAGTAAGGGTTGTCACCTCCCCGGGAGCACGAGGTCTGGACAGACCTGCAGTAGCCATTGACGATCCTTCCAGAAACCACCTTCCGGAAAGGCTCCCACTGCTTGGCTTCTCCGTCCACAGGTGCACCCAGCAGGACAACGTCCTCAACGATCCCTTGGCAATCTGGAGAGAGACCCCAGAAAAGGTCGTCAGCGCCCCTGGCCACAGTGGGTCCTGCGAGGGACTGTCCAACAGCAGTGGAAGAAATGGATATCACACCCACATGCATGCACATATGCACTCACTACTGTTCAGCTGTGTCCGACAATTTGCAATCCCATGGGCTGCAGCATGCCAGGCTTCCCTGTCCTTGCAGGCGCAAACACATTCATGCATACAAACATGCAAACGCACACACATACTGCGGCTTCTGTTCACTGAGTTTCAGGCCCTGGGTCAAGCCCGCTGGTGCCTGATCTATTCCTACAAAGCCCACACACCGAAACTCCCGAGCCTGTGTCCCACAGCGAGGGAAGACTGCCACAACCAGGACCCAGCGCAGCCAAAAAGTAATGAATGAATAATAAAGCATGCATCATCCCCGTTTCAGAGTTAAGGAAAACCAAAGACATTTTCAGCATCACATAGCCAGTGAGTAGCACAGTCCAAGTGGGGACCCACATCTATTTCCACCATCCATGAAGCTCACGACTGACCGTGGACTCAGATGGAGTGTTTCCCTTTAGAAGGGACTCGTGGTCCGTGGCTCGCTGCATGTGCCAGGCAGGAGATACCACAGCCTCCCTCTGCAACAGGTCCCTGGGGGTCTGTACGGACTGGGGGTAAGGTGGGAGTGCAGAGGAGAAGGGGGCAAAAGGGTCCCGGGATGTGGAGTGGACGCATCGGCACTGACCTAGCGGTCCAGGGTATCTCAGGCAAGGGCTCCTCGCAGCGCAGCCCGTGGATGAGGGCTGGCCCGTGGTGGTCCATCCTCTAAGTATAGATCAGAGAAGCAGTGTCTCTTTGATCTCCCTGCAGACTGGAAACCCACAGCTCACACAGGGGTGTGTGAACCGCACTCTGAGAAGCACCACTCTCCACCCCGAGACAGCTGTAGGTTTCTTCTGGCCTCATCTCACTTGTTCATATGCTTCCTCCTCTAACCTCTGGGTTCAGGGAGGGTGGGGCTCCGGCTTGCCTTGGTCACAGCACAGTGCCTGGTCTATCCTTGGGGCTCAGAGGGTATGAATGAAAGAGCGAGTGAACACACGGCCAGCCCCCGGGACAGCCAGCATCTGCACTTTGTAGTTGCAAAGCTCTGGGTTCAAATCCCAGTTAGTGACTTCTGAGCTAGGTCACTTAAAAAGCCTTAGCGGCTCTAAGCCTACTAGTGGCTTCTTTGAGCCTGCAGTGGCTATGGTACTGCCCTGAGGGTCCCTTGGACTGCAAGGAGATCAAAACAGTCCATCCTAAAGGAGATCAGTCCTGAATATTCACGGGAAGGACTGATGCTGAAGCTCCAATACTTTGGTCACCTGTTGCAAAGAACTGACTCACTGGAAAAGACTCCGATGCTGGGAAAGATTGAAGGCGGGAGGAGAGGGGACGACGGAGGAGGAGATGGTTGGATGGCATCACAGACTCGATGGACATGAGTTTGAGTAAACTCTGGGAGCTGGTGATGGACAGGGAGGACTGGCATGCTGCAGGCCATGGGGTCGCAAAGAGTCGGACACGACTGAGCGACTGAACTGAACTGAACTGAGGGTCTTTATGGGGATGAAGTCATGGTGGGAAAAACCCGGGGCAGAGAACGCACAGCAGAAGCTGGCAGGCCCCCTGCCTGCCCTGTGCCCCCACCTCCCAGCACGTAGCTCCTTCTTAGAGTCCTGAGCGCCCCTACACTTGGGGAGTTACCTGCTCCATGTTATTCTTGGGGAGTGGGCCCTAGAGGGACAACTCAGCCAGCCCCGCCCGTCTCCTACGAGAGACACAGGGCAGGTGCTTCCCCTTCCTGGGCGCTGGTTTCTAACACAGCACGTGTCTTCCATTTGAGCTGCATGTCAGAGTTTGAGCAACGGGTTCCAGGCTAATGGGAGTCTGAGAACGCCTGTGCTCCTCTGGCTCTGGCAGATGGGATTCCCTGGCACAGAATCCTGACGTCACTCCCTGGCTTCCAGGGAGAGGACAATCTGGCAGAAAGATGAAACTTCAGGAAGCTGGAGGTTTGTGTTGAATGGTGAGGATGGCTCAGATACTCTTCCACGTAAGGGCTATTTCAGGGGCTTGGGTTTCCAGCGAGGCTGCAGGGTTTATTCTGAACCCTGCTCTTGGCCGATGAGGAAACACGGGGTCTCAGAGGGAATGGGGCGTGCCGAAGGTCACACAGGCATGAGGACACAGCTGAGCCTAGAGCCCAGCGCAGGGGGCTGCCAGGCCCTGGGCACCCCTGCAGCAGCAACCCAGAGCACAGCGATCGCGGGGGGTCATCATCGCCCTCACGGTGCCAGCCGCTGAGGGCCAAGGACCGGCGGCGGAGCTCTGCGCTCTCCGGGCGCCCGCCGCTCAGGGCACCTGCCCGCTGAATCTTCACCTCGGGAGCTCTGCTGCCCCGGGGACCATCACCTGGCGGGCTGGGACCCCTTGTGGCCAGCAGGAGGATTGCGGCATTCCCCACCAGGTCGCCTAGGGCGACCGCCAGGATGCCGAGACTCCCATCTGACAGCTGTGACGACAGCAAAGAGGTAGCTGCCTTTTGCTGAACTGAGACTAGCAGCTGAAACTCATAGAACAGTTCAGAACACAGTCAAATCCAGCCAGGGTGGGCAGCAAGCTGGAGACATGTTTATGTATCTCTGAAGCCACAGTCAGCTTCCAGTCTTGTTTTCGCTGACTTTTAAAGAGCTTCTCCATCTTTGGCTGCAAAGAATATAATCAGTCCGATTTTGGTTTTGACCATCTGGTGTTGTCCATGTGTAGAGTCTTCTCTTGTGTTGGTGGAAGAGGGTGTTTGCTATGACCAGTGCATTCTCTTGGCAAAACTCTATTAGTCTTTGCCCTGCCTCATTTTGTACTCCAAGGCCAAATTTGCCTGTTACTCCAGGTGTTTCTTGACTTCCTACTTTTGCATTCCAGTCCCCTATAGTGAAAAGGACATCTTTTTTGGGTGTTAGTTCTAGAAGGCCTTATAGGTCTTCATAGAACTGTTCAACTTCAGCTTCTTCAGCATTACTGGTTGGGGCATAGGCTTGGATTACCATGACATTGAATGGTTTGCCTTGGAAATGAACAGAGATCATTCTGTCATTTTTGAGACTGCATCCAAGTCCTGCATTTTGGACTCTTTTGTTGACTATGATGGCTACTCCATTTCTTCTAAGGGATTCCTGCCCACAGTAGTAGATATAATGGTCATCTGAGTTAAATTCACCCATTCCAGTCCATTTTAGTTTGCTGATTCCTAAAATGTCGATGTTTACTCTTGCCATCTCCTATTTGATCACTTCCAATTTGTGTTGATTCATGGACCTAACATTCCAGGTTCCTATGCAATATTGCTCTTTACAGCATCAGACCTTATTTCTATCACCAGTCACATCCACAACTGGATGTTGTTTTTGCTTTGGCTCCATCCCTTCATTCTTTCTGGAGTTATTTCTCCACTGATCTCCAGTAGCATATTGGGCACCTACTGACCTGGGGAGTTCCTCTTTCAGTGTCCTATCATTTTGCCTTTTCATACTGTTCATGGGGTTCTCAAGGCAAGAATACTGAAGTGGTTTGCCATTCCCTTCTCCAGTGGACCACATTCTGTCAGACCTCTCCACCATGACCCGGCCATCTTGGGTGGCCCCACACGGCATGGCTTAGTTTCATTGAGTTAGACAAGGCTGTGGTCCTGTGATCAGATTGGCTAGTTTTCTCTGATTGTGGTTTCAGTCTGTCTGCCCTCTGATGCCCTCTCTCAGTGCCTACCGTCTTACTGGGGTTTCTCTTACCAAGAGAGTTCCAGAAAAACATCTATTTCTGCTTTATTGACTATGCAAAAGCCTTTGACTGTGTGGATCACAATAAACTGTGGAAAATTCTGTAAGAGATGGGAATACCAGACCACTTGATGGGCCTCCTGAGAAACCTGTATGCAGGTCAGGGAGCAACAGTTAGAACTGGACATGGAACAACAGACTGGTTCCAAATAGGAAAAGGAGTACGTCAAGGCTGTATATTGTCACCCTACTTATTTAACTTATCAAAGCTGTATATTGTTACCCTACTTATTTAACATCTATACAGAGTACATCATGCGAAATGCTGGGCTGGATGAAGCACAAGCTGGAATCAAGATTGTCGGGAGAAATATCAATAACCTCAGATATGCAGATGACACCACCCTTATGGCAGAAAGTGAAGAAGAACTAAAGAGCCTCTTGATGAAAGCGAAAGAGGAGAGTGAAAAAGTTGGCTTAAAACTCAACATTTGGAAAACTAAGATCATGGCATCCGGTCCCATCACTTCATGGCAAATAGATGGAGAAACAGTGTAAACACAGTCAGACTTTATTTTTGGGGGCTCCAAAATCACTGCAGATGGTGATTGCAGCCATGAAATAAAAAGATGCTTACTCCTTGGAAGAAAAGTTATGACCAACGTAGACAGCATATTAAAAAGCAGAGAACATTACTTTGTCAACAAAGGTCCATATAGTGAAGGCTATGGTTTTTTTAGTAGTCATGTATGGATGTGAGAGTTGGACTGAAGAGTTGATGCTTTTGAACTGTGGTGTTGGAGAAGACTCTTGAGAGTCCCTTGGACTGCAAGGAGATCCAACCAGTCCATCCTAAAGGAAATCAGTCCTGAATATTCATTGGAAGGAGTGATGCTGAAGCTAAAGTTCCAATAGTTTGGCCACCTGATATGAAGAGCTGACTCATTGGAAAAGACCCCGAGGCTGGGAAAGACTGAGGTGGGAGGAGAAGGGGACGACAGAGGATGAGACGGTTGGATGGCATCACTGACTCAATGGACATGAGTTTGAGCAAACTCTGGGAGATGGTGAAGGTCAAGGAAGCCTGGCGCGCTGCAGTCCTTGGGGTTGCAAAGAGTCGGACACAACTGAGCGATTGAGCAACAACAGGGAATCACCTGGCAGAGGTGCTGTGCTCAGTTAAGTACTTGTGGGATG